GTCCAGTTGTTGGTCACCAGCGCGGCTTTGCCGAGGACGGTAAGAAGGACGGCACCATACATGGCTGTACCCCAGACCCACTTTCCGCCAGGGAAACCGTCACCTTGAGGCCCGTCGTTGAGCCAGAAGAGACAGCCACCTACATAGAGAATGATGGAGTGGTAAACGGCGTTGATGATCCATTCGCCGAAGACACGGATCTTGAAGAAGGTGTTGCGCTGGCCGAGGTTGTAGAGCTGCGGGTAGCGGTCGAGCAGGCGGGCAGAGACGAACTGATCGAGGATACCAAGGGCGAGCGGCGGAAGGACCGTAAAAAAGACGTTGTAGAAGGAGAGAGTCCAGGATTCGTAGATGACTTCACCGGAAAAGACGTTTTGGAAGGTGTACTGTTTCAGGTCAGTGTTTTTGAATCAGAAATGGTTACCTGCATGGAACACATACCCAAAACTGTGTCAGATAAAGGCAAATGTTCTTGTAAAAAGAGAACAAAATGGTCTTCGACACACGATGGTAGCTCCAGGCGCCATGGACGAGAAGCAACTTGCGGAGGTAACGGAACTGGGCAATAGACACATCGGCACTGCGCGCAGCTTGTAGACCTTCCATACCGCTGATACCGACACCAATATGGGCAGCCTGAATCATAGAGACATCGTTGGCTCCGTCGCCAATAGCGAGGAGAATCGACTCCTTTTGATACTTCTTGACCAACTTGACGACCAGGGCCTTTTGCAGAGGGGAAACGCGGCAGCAGATAACGGCCTTGCACATGATGGCAAGATCAAGGAAGAGCTTCTCCATGTCCTTCTCCAGAGCGTACGTCAACGATTTGCCGTCAATAACGAGAGCCAGGGTCTCCATCTCAATGGTGGCATCGCCCTGGTTGCGGATGGCATCGAGCTTCTTCTGAAGATTATCCCGCGTAGCTTCCGCATTCTCTTCGTTGACAATGAGCAGCATCATGTCCTCACTAAGCAACTTGCAACTCATGCCAATGTTGATGGCGGTCTCTTGTCTGTCACCGGTCAAGACCCAAACCTTGATGCCAGCTTCCTGGAGGGTGTGAATGGTCTCGGGCACACCGTCCTGCAAGCGATCCTCGATAGCGGTGGCCCCAAGAAGGTAGAAGTCGTGCTCGATGAGTTCGGCAGCCTTGTCCAGCTCATCTGCACGATTACCACCAATGGTCGTCTGCGCCGTCTCGTAAACCTTCATCCACTCCTGGAATTCGTGCTCCGGGATTTCCCTCATGGCCAAGCAGAGCGTGCGTAGTCCCTCAGAAGCATATTCCTCAAGATGTCGCAGGGTGGCGTCGACGTGGGGGTTCTGGTCATTGAGCCTTTCCAGGATGACGGTGTCTGCGCCCTTGCAGTAGCAACGAACCTTGCCGTCAGGGCAACGATAAATAGTGGACATTCTCTTTCTGGTTGAGTTGAATTCGCAGACCGCCAAGAGCTCGTACTCAAGCTGCTGGCCGTTGGCTTCGATGATAACAGCGCGCGGCTTGCGAGCGACGAACCTGTAGCCCAACTGTACCGCGCCATCGACAAGCGCTCCCTCATCTGGTGACGCGGCTTGGTACTTGATGCTTCCGTCTTCAGCCTGTTCCGGAATAACAGTATGGCAGATGGCGAGAAGGGTGAGAAATTGGTCAATGACCTGCGCAGATTGGTGGCTCTCGAGATTCTTCTGCAGTTGCTTGAAGTCGTGGATTCCATCCTCTCCGTCCTCACCACTCGGGATTCTATCCTCGGGCACCTTGTCGGCGTACATGATTCCAGCGATCGAGCATTGCCTATATTCCATCATGTTGCAGGTCAAGGTACCAGTCTTGTCTGAGAAGACGAACTCAACCATGCCCAATTCCTCAACCAGACTGGAAGTTCGGCAATTGGCAGGGGTGTCATTAACGTCATAATACATATCAAGATCGTCGTTAATGAGAATGCCGTGCCAATACTTGACCATTTCAATAGTGACGAAGAGCGAAATGGGAACGAGAGCGGAAAACAAAACCCAGTATGTGACCATGTCCTTGAGGAAGATGCGAGCAACAGCCGAGGCACCGTTCATAGGATCCAAGAAGAGATAAGCGAGACCTTCCTCGCCCTCCACCTTTCGTTGGATGAGATCACCGACAGTAGATACCACGCTGAAGATCAAAAGGATACCGACGAGGAAGAGTACGAGCGTGTTCAGCTGCCTCTCGACCTTGGTGCGCTTAATCGGCGCGGCCGTGGCGTTGCGCATCAGCTTGGTCTCGTGGCCAGTGAAGACAACGACACCGTGGACCCAAGGGGTGTTGCGCAGAGTAGCACCACGGAGAAGCAACTGCTCGGGGTTTAGAGGAAGCTCCTTCTCCCCACCTCCAGCCTGCATGGTCAAGGTCGCTTCGTAAGTGTAAAGACTGCTGTTGGGCTGCTCGGAGCGAATCCTGCCCCCCAGACGACTCAACTCGCTGGAGCTAACCATAGATGACGTTTCTGGCAGAGCTTGCTTAATCTTGAGGTTGGTCTCTCCGTCGAGATTGGCGGTTTCGATATAGCAAAGACCCTCAGGCTCGGAACTCGCCAAGAGAACAAGATCGGCGGGGAAGGACTCCTCAGATTCGACTCGAATGATGTCTCCAACCGAGACGTTGATCCATTTCGTTTCCTCGAATGTCGAACCCCTCAGGATCCGGGCCTTGGACATATTGAGCGCCTTATCTGCCTGTTTTCTCCGATAATCTTCGACCATCTCTTTACCCGCCGAAACCAAGAGCACAACAGCTAGAGGACCAATTGTAGTATATCTGTTTGTAGGAGACAGGCCGGGAATCTGCTGTAAACCGGCGGTAAATAAGAAGAAGATATTGGCGAACTTGGAGAACTGCTCGAAGAGGAACTTGGGCAAGAAAGTCGCAAAATTGTACTTGGCGGTCGAGACGTGGTTGTCGACATACTTGTTCAGGCTGTTGGCGGGAGGGTTGTTGAGATGGATGATACGGGGCCCAAGGGTTGCTGGATCCGGCTTTCCGCCTCCAAACCCAAACTTGAAATCGAACTTCTTGGCTGGCTTCTGGGGAGGAGGAGGCTCGTGAGAGTGGTCTACCCGTGCGGTCGCTCGCGGATCCGTCAAGGGAAGGTCCATCTCCGAGTATCCCTCAGGGCCCATTCCAAGCATGTTCTTGGCACGACCGATCAAACCGCCACCCATGCTCAGGACGCTATTTCGTGCGCGCGCGCTGTCGCGGGCTGCCGCCGAGTCCGGAGGGATAGCTCCGCCATGTTGGTAGTAGGACGTGGTACTCTCGTCAGGGTAGTCGTCAGAGTCCTCGGCATAGCGTTGATAGTTTCCGAGATCCGACGTTTGGCTGAAATGCCGGTCCAGCGACCTGCTATCAGGGTATGGACTAATTGGGCCTCCGCCGCCTGTCGCGCCCGGCGCGGGCTGTATAGGTCTTGTAGCTGTTGGTTGTGTTGTTTGCCCGGAGCCGACGAAGTCATCGTAGGATACGGACGGGCGAGGTTGCGCGGCGCCTTGCGCATCATCGCTGTGTAGTCGCAAGAGATCGTCGTCGTTTAGGGTCGACCTTTGTCCCCCGCCATAGTATGGTTGTTCGTTGCCGAAGTCGAGCAGCAGATCGTCGTGTTGAGCGCTCGACGGGGCCCCAGGAGGGGGGCGGCCAGCCGCCATGCCGGAGACGGGGAGCCGGAGAATGGACGCTGTCGGTAGGACAGTCCGTCAGACCAAGCTGAGATGGTGGTGTCGCGGAGACAAGCGAGGGATTCGAAGACAAAGGCGAGGAGTCGTGCCTATAGCGGGAATAGGAGCATCTGGGGACTCAATGTGGACGAGGGGGAGGAATCCGGATACGGCGGGCACTTGTTGATTTCGGGCCGGAGTAGGTAGCGCGTGTGTAATGCAGCTTTGATGGATGTGGTCGAGCGCTGGGTAGCGTCGGTATGAGTCTAGGTACCTAGGTAGGTATGTTGACCGCAGGAACGTTTCTTTTTGCGACAGAATGCGTGAGGTGGAACTTGGGGAAGCTGAATTGGAGAGTTGGGAATTGTACGGAGAGATAGTGGATGGTGGGTTGGATACTAGCGCAGTAGGTGCCGCCGCCGTGTCATGGGAAGTTAAGTGAAGATGCAGCACAGCCTCCTTTGACGGCCGTTCAGCGCAGGATTCGCGTGTGGAATTAACGAACTGGTGCCCCCCCAGTACAGGAAGACCAATGATACAAGACACCAATCTAGAATAGAGGTAGGTACCAGGCAACGGGCCCGGTCGATACGGTTCCTGGTACGCGCCAATACGGTTTGCTTGGTCACGTTCAATGAGTTGAGATGCACCCCCTGACGGGATGTTGAGAAAGAGTCCAACGGTCGGTACCCAAGTCTGGCGACCTCAGGAAAGGGCAGGTTCCATGTTTTGGATGTTTGAAGATGCAGACTTTATTTCTTCTGGAATTCAGGGGATGTCAGGGATGGAGGGATTGCCTGAGTGGTGGGCTTGAAAAGCTGCACGTAATCGTAATGTACACTACCATGGGTACCGGTTACAAAGACTGGGACACTCACCCACCACTAACACCACAATCGCCTTCCCAGGGGACCAAAGCCGCCAAGGCACGTCACAGCGCTCCTGTTAGCGGGTCACCGTTGTTAGGCACCATGCGTGGATTGCCAGTTGCTATGAATAAAGATGTTTCGAATGCATTTCACCCAATCATGATGCTCCGAGGTGTGTTTGAGGCTGGAAACGAGGACGCTAAGCTCATGACTAAGCGATAGTGGCTGACAGTAGGGGCCCTTTTACCCCACCATACGCGCAGGCCTTCTTGGTCCCTTCAAGTTCTCTGGGATGCGCCATGGGCTTGGCGGCCAGTAGTGTACAGGGCACTATGGTAACAACGCCCCAGCGGACATCACCTCAACTTGCCGCCGCTGTTGTGCTCTGACCTCATTCATCACCAACCACGTAGAGCTATCTCATCAACCGTCAACAAAAGCTTGCTCACCACTTCGACTAAGGAATATAGGAGAGACGCTCGAAAAGAAATATATCCGACATGGTTTGCGCAAAGTGCCAAAAGAAGGAAAAGACGACCCTCGTCACGCCGGCGGTCAAGAAGAAGAGTGAGATGTACTATGGCTCCCCAGCAGCGGCAACATCGTCATCATCGAGCTCGGCCACGGGACCCAAAAAGTCGGCAACTCTGGGCAACACAGGAGTGACAAAGGTGAGTTTTTGATCATCTTATCATCATCAGAAGATATCAAACTATTCGTCTGTACTAACTGGTCCTTACCATACAGAGCAAACTGCTGTCCAAGGCGGCTCAGAACCCCTATGCTCAATACTCCAGCACTTGTACGCGCTGTAAGGCAAAAGTATCACAAGGCCACACCTCTTGCAATAAATGCGCGTACCGCGCCAACTGTACGTCTTGAAACCCTTGCTAGATGTTTCTGAAAGATGAATAGGAACTAATTCTTATCGATAGCCTGCGCAATCTGTGGCAAGCCCAACAAAACCACTACTGCCGGAGCACCCCTTGTGAACGGCCAGAAGTTCACCTTGAAGTGAGCATGTCGCAGACAAATCGTTGCTGGACAGGCACGAAAATCACCAAAGCTACGCTGCAATACGATAAGCTCGAGTACAGCAACATGAACGACGTAAACGACATGCCCAACGATCCACTTGTCCTTCATCAGTTTCTAGGTTTTGCCTGTACTGCTAACTTTATGCTGAGGGACTCGACACACAGTTGCACCGTCGATAACGACAGTCCCCGGATCACCGAAGGCTTCTTCAGTTTGACTTGACCAGGGAACGAGGTGTAACCTCCCGTGTAGAGCGTTGTACAATTCTAGAGGCTGAGCAGACGCTCAGGGGATTCAAGGCATTACAGCGCATTGGATGCCACGTGAGATCGTGTACATTTGGTGCTGGACTATGGATACGGCATGAAATGTTGGGTGGATACGAGTTTACAGATGGTGTCTTCAGTAAGGCACAGCCTTGCCCCCAAACCACTACTTGAGGGGGTGGAAGAGATGGATATGTAGACAGATGTTGGTGCCATGTAGGCAAAGGTACTTTCTGATTACCTCACGATGGTAATCGTGCTGGAGTGTAGTGCAATCGGTGGTTCAGGGACAGAAGCTGTGAGCCCTACAGACGTACACCTTGGCTAAGATGGAAATAGAGGCATGATTCAATCTTGAAAGATTCCTGTCTTCCAGTCGATCTGTTATCCATTCTTCACCGCTTGCCTTTGCATTGCCAGTCTGAATCTATTGCAATCGCACCATGTAGGTAGCTAACTTGGATGTGTTGAATCCACCATCTTACCGATCCCATGTCTACTCATCGCCCAACAGCCAATAGCTCTCACTCTTCCCTTACCCACTTAAAAAGGTACCCTTCGCTTAATTGTGCCTCGGCCAAATCGACGAGCCAAGTACATACGAAGCGCAAAGGCAAGGGTCTTCGTGTTTCGATGATCACCTCTTTCCGAGGTATCTTGAGGGTCTTGGCGGGTATGCATGGAGCACCTAAGGTGTTGTTGCTGCCTCCCCTCCACCCCCATTTCCCCACTACACGTCTGAATGGTAAATGTATAAGAAGGGGGGGACAAAGACAACATAACCTCTCTGATTATTTGCTTATGATTCAAAAACTCTCCGAGGTTCGACAACACATACGTGGCACATTGCTTTAAAGGTCCGTTTACTGCCAGTTTTCATTTCGTGCTGCTGTTAAACAGAACAAGACACACATGTGTTCAACGTGATATCATCCTCCAATACCCAAAACATATCTAGCTAACTTCCACTCGCAAAAGAAAAGTCAATCTGACTGGAACTTAGTTCTCATCAACAACTTATCCTGTCCATCCAAAATGGCTGCATCCACAGCAGACTTCCCTCCCAAACTCACCCCCCACGACCCCCGCGTCGTCTCCAAAACCGCCACCATCAACGGCAAGAAATACCACTACCTCTTCTCCGCCCCTCCCCCTCCTACCGATGGCGGCGACGCCTCCCAACCTCGCGGAACCGTCCTCCTCATCCACGGCTGGCCCGACCTCTCCTTCGGCTGGCGCTACCAAGTACCCTTCCTTGTATCTCTCGGTCTACGCGTCATTGTCCCCGACCTGCCTGGCTTCGGCCGGTCTGAGTCGCCCGCGGAACTGACCGCCTACTCGTTCAAGTCCGTCACCCACGACCTGCTCGAGCTGGTGGAGAGCGAAGTCCCCGGTGGGCGTCAGCAGATTGAGAAGGAAAGCGGAATTATTGTGGGTGGACACGACTGGGGCGGCGCCGTGGCCTGGCGGTTTGCGCTCTGGTTTCCCGACGTGACACGGGCCGTGTTCTCCGTCTGCACGCCCTTCTGGGCGCCGAGAGCGGGCGAGTTCGTCCCGCTGAAGCAAAAGGTCGAGACGGTGCTGCCGAATTTCCGCTATCAGCTGCAGTTGTCGGGGCCCGAGTTTGAAGCACAGGTAAAGGGCGAGGAGAAGATCAGGCAGTTCTTGAGTGGCATGTATGGCGCCAAGGGACCGGATGGGGAGCGCGTGTTCACGACGGAGAAGGGCTGTTTGTTTGAAAACTTGCCCAAGATGGGCAAGAGCCCGTTGTTGGATGAGCAGGAGATGGATTACTATGTGAAGGAGGTGGCGGGTAATGATGGGGGAAGCATGAGGGGAGGTCTGAATTGGTATAGGACCAGCGAGGTGAACTATGAGGATGAGAGGGAGCTGTTGAAGCAGTTGGAGAAGAGGGGGAAGAACGCAAATGGGGAGAAGATTGTGGAGCCGCCGGCGCTGTTTGTTCTGGCCACGAGGGATGCGGCCTTGCCGCCGGCGATGGCCCAAGGCATGGAGAGGTTCTTCGAGAAGAAGCTGATGAGGAGAGAGGTGGAGGCTAGCCATTGGGCGTTGTGGGAGCAGCCGGTCAAGGTGAACCAGGCTATTGCGGAGTTTTTGGGTGGTGTGTTGACTGAGGGGGATGCGAAGCTTTGAGCGAGCGGAGGTGCCTTGATGTTCTCATGTTGTGTAACTAGGCTGCTGGTTGAAGAAAAGCTCTAGGGAACGCTATCAAAGGAAGTATTTTGCTTAGTAGGGCATCTACCAAAACCGCGGCTGCAAGTAAACCACAACAATTGCGTACTCTTTTTGTAACATTGGCGTTCCTTCCGTCCCACAGCCCTCCTTGGTTGGGGTATGCTCCTTTACTTTCACATATATGGCCCCGACGTTGGACGGTCATGGAACATCGGCTAGCCAGCTAGCTTTCAACAATACAGCCGTTGTTTTAGACCAAAACCCAAGGCGACAATAACCGACAGGCAGAACCCACACTGGGATATATTTTCAAAGCGGGGATAGGTAAAGTTACCTCTAGTATATGACCATATCCTCCCCGTCTTGTATCATCTCGTCGCCATCATGGTCCTGGTCATGAGTGGTAGTATCAATGCTAGTGGCAATGACGCCCTTGTCATCGCCTGTACCTGTGCTCAGGGTTGCTGCTGCTGCTGCTGCTGGATCTTGTGATGACAATGACGGAACAGCACCATGGTTAGCATCTTCTGAAGTCTTGTTAGGCTGCTCACCAACTTGATCTTGTTCATTCCGGACAACGTCAACATGGGTTGATGGTGGTGATGGTGGCGGTGGCGGGATCTCAGACTTTGGCGGGACCTTGACTTCATTCTTTGGCGGCCTTCCATGTTTGAGTTCGAACTGGCGCACCTCCCTGGTAATAGTCTCCTCGGCTTCGCGGACTTGTTCATCGAGGATACGCTCTTGTTCTTTGGTGAGCTCCCAGGGTTTGTAGTACTAGTAGTATCATTAGCCCTCGAATCAAGTCGTGTTCGTTGTCTCAGGGGTCAAGTTCTTACAACTACCGGCTCGCTGACAGTTCGCAGACTATGAGCCAAGATAAGCATCTTTTCATGCCGCCGGTGCATCTAAAGTTAAAGGGGGTCTGTTAGCAAGCATGTCCAACAAACAGTCCATTGTCAAGGGACAACCCACCATCCGCTCTTCGAAGTCCACCTGCTTGGCATCCCGGAAGCGTCTGCGCTCAGCGAGCAGGTCGGTTCTGCGCCTATCATCCTCGACTCTCTGCTGCTGCACTCGTTCCTGCTGGCGGCGTTCAATCTCCTTTCTCCTCTTTTGCTGTGAGTTGTTGGGTGTAGTCTGACTTAGAGTGTTGAGGAGACCACCAAACAAGCGCCTGCCGCGTTTCTTCTCCTCTAGGCTAACATTCTTCCGCGTTTGTTCGGGGCTAAGTGGTGCCTTTCGAGACGGCGGTGCGGCCTGCTCCCTTTGCTCGTCAGACTCTCTCCTAGTAGTGACTGGGCTTTGAACTGTGGTCTCTTGGGCGCGTGCCACAGCTTCGTTCTCCATTGGATGATCGTTGTCCTTGGTAGTTGACGTGGCGTGGATCTCCCTCGCTGTGGCGACCGGCTCCTCCATCGAGTCCTTTACAGGTTCCTCTGTCCTGCCGGTTTTTGGCGTCGCTTCCCCTTCAACAATCTCACTGATCCTGTCCTGGACGTTCCCGTCCTCCAGTTTGGTGCGCTTAGCAGCCACGCCATCCTCTGGCGATGGTGAGGAGGTGGCCTTTCTTTTTTGGGTAGACAAGTCCTCTGTTTCCATCCTCTGTTCCGAAGACATGAGTAGTGCCGAGTTGGAAAGCCCAGTCGCGTTGTCTGAAGCAAATCGACAGCAGCTTGGCGTTGAAGCTGAAGCAAAGGTGTTGGAGTTGTAAGGTATAGCTCGGAAGTGATTGGCAGAAAACGTGATTGACGTGACAAAAAGGTTTTGTTGTGCGTTGCAGTTAAAGGTCGAATGTACTTCTCCCATATATGTCGAATGGCCGGTCCCTGTTTGATCTCCAACACGCCCCGTTCGTTGTTGGAAACTGGTGTTGGTGGATTGATGGAAGCCAAATTGTTAGTGACCTGTGTCCAGAACTTCTCCAGTGAGAATCACAGTGAGCAGCTTCCCCCCGAAAGTGGATTATTCAGGGTAGCCCGCTGTTCGGGGCCGCTCGAATCCCACTGTTCGGGGAAGCAGCTGGGAAGCTAACCCCACTTTCCTGCACCGGTCGCATGTCTTGGCATTTGAAGATCCGCTCTTCCACGAGGCTGACAAAAGAAAACGCGGAAAACGCGAGAAGAGACGCCACATCGCTACCCACTTGCCGCCGAGGCTGACGAAATTCAATTCCACATCATCGCCAGTGATCGCATCTTTCGCCTTGCATCACGTTCCCTATCGTCCTCGGCTACAACCACAAGTGCCATTTCGAGACCAGATTCGCCGTACAGCGCATTCTCTGAGCGATCACTTTATACTACGCGACAGCACCACGCGTGCCCATCTCACCCGAAGTTCAATCCTTCTGCCTACCATCACCGGCGCGAAAACACATCATAATCTCTAGCCCACCATGTCTCGCCATCATCCGTACGTCTCTTTTATCCTCGCTTCCCTCCTTGCCCAACCCAGCCCTGCTTGACCCTTTCTTGATAAACCCTCTCGATTATGTACATACTAACACTCCCTTTCCCCACAGTGATCTAGTAATGTGCCGCAAACAATCCGGCATCGCCATCGGCCGTCTCTGCGACAAGTGCGATGGCAAGTGCCCCGTGTGCGACTCGTACGTGCGGCCGACGACACTGGTGCGCATCTGCGACGAGTGCTCGTTCGGCAACTACCAGAACAAGTGCGTGGTGTGCGGCGGCGAGGGCATCTCGGACGCGTTCTACTGCTTCGAGTGCACCAGACTCGAAAAGGACAGGGATGGGTGTCCCAAGATTATAAACCTGGGTAGTTCCAGGACGGATGTAAGTTCTCTTCTTCTTTCTCTCCCCTTCCCGCTTGCCGTGGGGTAAAGTGCTTGGAGATGGTGTGCTCGTGAAGATTAGAGGCTAACGAAGTACGTTTTCACACAATAGCTATTTTACCAAAAGAAAACAAATCGAACATTTTAACAATAGAGATGCCCGGGCATGGGCTTGTGTGAGAAGATTGTTTGGGGTGGTTAATTTACTGATATGAGAGGGGCTCCTGAGTGACGGATGGAAACCATGTTGGAAGGGGCATATAACTTCGAGAAAAGGGATTTGTCACAAGCTCAAGCTGCATTTGACTTGGCATCAAGGGCGTTAGGGAGTTTTGTTTACATACATAGCATAACAGGGCAGGCTCAGAGTTGAGAAAGACAAAGCTGAAAAGCAAGTACGTACCATTGATGAGGCGTTCACTAACAGGGCTTTGGTTAATAATTAGAAATGTTGCCATCACATATCAGGTTACAGTGTTTGTGTCATCTCTTCTGATTATGAACTGAAAACGAAACAAGCTATTTTCCGTGATGCATGACCCATTAACGATAGACTCGAAACAAAACTGTCGCATGCCAAAACCTGCTGCGACAACAGCCGCAATGCTAATTATCATCAGAGCAGGAATATTCCCTCCCTTACTCCCAATGTCCAAAATAATACTGATACCCAAGCAGCAAAAAGGGGCTCGGATCAAATGTAACTAACTTTCATCCCCATTCCAGCCGTAGCCTTCACTTTCCCCCACCCTTGCTGCACCACTCTTGTGATTCTCTCCCTCACGCTCTTTTTACTGAACATCAGCAGGAACCCGATAATGAACGCCAGCGTCCGGTACAGCAGGAACGGGTTCCCATGAAATGCCGTCATAACCTGATCCAACACCGACCGGATATTGTTCAGTATCAAAGCCGCCTTCGTGCCCATTCCAGGGCCGGCCACCGCACTCGAAGAAGAACCCGTCGTCTTGGTCGCAGTCGGTGACGACGCTCCCTTCCTTGACGGCCTAGCCGGTTTCGAAGACGCCGACGACGACGAGGCCCCCCCGTTCTTCAACGCGGAAGCCTTCTTCTTCAGATTCGGTTTCTTCGTCGTCCCCGTTCCCGTCCCCTTGGCCTCAACACCCGATTCCCCTTCCGTCGTCGGTCCGCTCCCTGCACTAGCAGCCGTACTTGCGTTCACCCCCGCCGCCTCTCTCTTCTGCCTTTCTTCTTCCAACCTCTTCCTTTCGCGCTCCTCGTTCTCCGCCCTCAGCTTGCGCGCATTCTCAATGTCCTTGCGAATCGCATCCTCCTTTTCGCGCGCTTTCCGCTCCGCTTCTTCCTGCTCCTCCTTCAGCGAGTACAGCGCCTGGATGAAAGCTTCTTTCCGCTCGTCGTCCAGGACCGCGCTCATGTTGATGAACTCTCGCGCGCACGCCCACTCGTCGTTGCGTGGGAGCACATGCAAAGTGTACAGTTCGAGAATCTTGACGCGCGCATTGAGGTCTCGCGGGGTGTCAGCGCCATGTCCGGTCGCCACTCCAGATTTGGAGGATGAGCGCAGGCGACGGGCTGGAGAGGCGGAGGAACCACCCGGGCCAGAGGGACCCGAGAGACGGTCCGTCAGATCGAGATTGGGGGTGCGGGCGGCGGCTAGATAGTTTTCTAGACGTTTTTGGTTGAGGGTCTGGGTTTTGGCGTGGCCGAGGAGGAGGGTGGCTCTGTAAAATGGGGGGTGTTAGTGCCTTGTTGGCTGGCTGACAGAAATGATGGTGTTGCTGGCCGACTTACAAGTTGATAACCACATCCGCATCGACATCTCCCTCGAATCCATGATATCCACTGCGTACTACTTCCTCCCAAACCTCGCCCTCGCGCACCTTGTGGCAGAGAGCCCTCCACTCCTGTGTGCCAAAGGCGTCCTTGCCCTCGTCCGAGTTCAACTCCAGAATCGCGTTGAGGATAGTCAGGTACAGACTCCACACCTTTATCCGGGTGGATCGCGACGCCTTGGCGACAGGTGCCGGGTCGAATGCGGCGGCGCCGGAAGCAACATCCCCAGGAGTAGCGGATTCGGAGGGAGACGGTGTGATTAAAGGTAGAACAGTGGACAGGGCTTCGGGTAGTCGACGGGTGAGAAATAGTGTTGAGGCCTGTCTGTAAGCCTTGGAAATGTTGGACGAGGACGGATGGCGCGCCGAGGAGACGGACGACGAGAGCGACGAGAGCGAGGACGACATGATTCCGGATCCGATCATGCTCGGACTGAGATAGGACGATGAATCGAGATTGGAAGCCATTGTGATTTTACTGCCTCAGTCCTCAGTTGTTGATGAATCGATGCGAAGGAATTGTTGCAATTGCCCCTGCGCGATAGACAGTGGAAAAACCGGGGGAAGGGCGCCCTGGAGAGGGGGTTGGAGCGAACTGGGATCGATTGGGATTGGCGGTGGCTAGCGGTGGCAGGTGAACTCGGATGTTGTTTTTTTTCTCGGCCTGAATAGGTAGGTAGGAATCTGGTGCACCCCCGTCTGGCGCGCGAAGAGAGCTGAAAACGAAGAGGGAGATGCGTGAACCCGCTCGCTAATGGTGGAAAGCGTTCCGGAGATGATCATCCAATGCGATCAAGCAGTCTCAAAAAATCCTTTATTGATGCAAAGGCGCGGTGCAGTTGAGATGGCAGAAGCAGGTGAACATGCAAGTGTCATTTGATCGATGTCAAATCAATGAAAGACAAAGGATCCTGTCATTCAATTTACAGCGCTTGCCTTCAGTTGGCTTTTTGGGTCCTGTCAGCTGTGAACCTCGGCATCCTGGGGTTGGCCTAGCAGACGGCAAGGGAGGGACAAGGATGGCATCTGTAATGCCCCTGGGTATGGGGAAGAACACATCCAATTAGAGCCAAATGTGGGACCAAGAGCTTCCAATGTGGAGAATAGTAGAGGTACTTGTCTAACTGCTTTGCGCCCTCCTAGTTAACTGCACGTGAACCATCGTGACCAAGAATCAAGCATTAATTGATCGAGTCAAGACTTAAGGACTGACATGTACGTATCATCGAGGACGATTATCAATGTAATCAATCTTCAAGATGGATGGTGATACGGAGTGTTAGAACCATCGGTCGAAAACATTTCAGAAACTCGTCTCAGTGATAGCGTGCCGAGGCACTTCGTCACTGTGGATCGCCAGACAGCATGCAGGCCATAATGTCTACAGATTCTAAGCATCTACTTATCTGGAAAAAGGAAAAAAAAATATTTGAAAGAAAGGAAAAAAGACCGACGCCGACCTGACCCATCATTCATCATCCCGAAACCGAGAGCCACGAGGTCTGTACATGTCTCAACACCCGGTCTGATCCCGAGCACGCGCCCGCCCACACCACCGGACCGCAGAAGTGGATCCCACACTCCGGGCTACAATGTAGACGTTAAGAACTGGCCCATCCCAGCTCGTTCCGCTGTCATCCCATCTCTTACCTATCCAACCTGACACCTTGATGGCCGCCACTTTATATACATTCCACATCCATTCTTACTCCCTCCGACCTGTCGTCCTCTTCCTCCTCAACTGCTCCCTCGCATCCGCCCTGTTCTCCTCCCAAATCTCATATTTGCTCTCCGCAATGCTCTCCGGCCTGCCTTCGTCTCTGAAATAGGCAGCCTGCTCCGACACGCGATCCTTCCTCCTTTCGCCCCCATCTCTGCTATCCCTACTAGGCTCGCGCTTGCTTTCCTTGTCGGCCTTTCTGCTGCTGTTGCTGTTGCTACTCTTGCTCTCACTGCTGCCATCAAACGATCTGATGCTCTCCGCCTTGCCGCTGTAAATGCTGCTGCTGCTGCCGCTGCCGGAGGTGGATGAACTGCCGCCCTTCATGCTCTTGACTTTGTTGAGGACCGAGAGACCTTGGCTAATGGTCTTGCTGCTTTGGAAGAGGAGGACTGGGGGATTTTGTTAGCTCTGCCAGAACAGGAAAAGGGGAACACTAAAAAAAAGAAAGAGGAAAAAAAAAAGAAAAGAAAAAAAAGGGGGGTGAGGGTGGGAGTCGTACTAGCAGGGACAATAACCCAAGGCGCGTTCATGCCGGCGTAGTAAACCCAGTAGTACAGCGTTTCCGGTCTGCTGTACGAAATGCCGCGAAACTTCTCCTGGAAGAAGCAGGTGCCGAAGTAGAGGGCGACGCCGTAGAGATGGCCAACGCTGACGATGGTTTGGGTGATGTGGCGGAGGCTAGTGTTGCCCTTGATGATGGCAAAGACGGTCAGGAAGGAGAGAGGGCCCCATGTGAGAACGGTCAGAGTCTCAATGCAGAGCATGAATGGGTCGGAGGTCATGTACCGCGAGTCGGACAGCGCGTACTCCTTCCACAGCTGAGCAAAGATGTCCTGCTTGCTGGCGAGGGTGGCGTGGTTGAGCACATAGTAGCCTGGGGAGGCCGTTAGTTTTCACTTGATCTCAGAAGAAATGAGAGAACGCTGATGTGCTCACCTTCAAAGAAACAATGCAAGAAACCACCTGTTCACGATACATCTCGTTAGCACACATCATCCTGTCTTGACTCTCCAACTCCACTGTCCACTTTGACATCCATCCATTCATCCCTCCTGTCTTCTTTCAAACTCTGACATATTCATAGCGTCCCACTTCCCTGTTCCTCACATATCCATATCATCAAGCGTTCCATCCCAAGAAAAGAAAAGTGCAACTCACATAGCGTAAACCACGCCAACACCCCCGCATCCTTCCACGTCAACTGCTTATTAACCTTCTTGCCAATGGCCACCGTTCCCACCATCAAGAGGGCCGTGGCTCCACCAAAAGCACCAAGCACCATAGGCAGCGTGTACGTGTTGGGCGCATAGTTGGGGACGACAACCTCGCGCGGGTAGTAAGGATGTTTGTGCCGGCGTGAGGAGCTGGCGTCCCCGGAGGAGACGAGAAACTTTAGGAAGGAGGACATTGTTGCTCCCTATATGGCCGTATTTGACTTGGTAGAATGGGAAAAAAAAAAAAAGAGATCCGTGAATGAAATGATACTGATGGTGTTGTTTTGTTGAGGTGGAGATGTTGTTATCGTGTGAATTTTGTGTAAGATGACTGGTGTTTTTCGAGACACAACTGCACAAGGGCCCCGTTGACCCCGAAGACCGACCAGTTATTTATCCACACCGCTCGCCTACCTGGGTGTGTCCTGCACGCAATCTCAATGCGATGGAAAGCTGAGTGGGATTTGATAGGATAAACTGACCAACGGCATGAACGCAAGTGCTGCAGCCTGCAGGAGGATGCAGGAGGTTGGCGTGGCTGGAAGGTTTCTAGTGTATCGGGAGGGGTAAGCCGAAGTAGCGTGCTTTTAACCCTAACCCCGTTGATCAAGATACTATGGCACTCGGTCCCTGGGGCCAGTTGGTTATCGTCACTTACCCTGCACTTTTCTTCAAACTTAAAGGACATCGCGATTTGTCAGAATTAAACTCGCTCGTTTGATTCATGGAAGCATATTCTACCCTCGTAGCTCGTTAAAGATACTCAATCTCTCTTTTAAGCCACCACACCTGGCACCCTTACAAACTCAAACTCAAATCCCTTCACAGCCCGTGGCATGCTCTTGATTCCCTTCACTCTCCCCCTCTCATACAACGCCAACCAAACCGCATCAGCATTGATCGTCTCCAACGCCTCTTTCAATTCCCTCCTTTCCGGTTCATGTAACACATCAACCACCACCTCCAGTATCTCATCAAACATCTCGTCATCCACCCTCACATACTTCAAAATGGCCGTAACCAACCCCAGCGCCGCATCCCACAACTGATGAGCCTGCGAGAACCTGCCTAGCGCCCCGCTCCCAGTCGAGCTCGTTGTCGAAACCAACTGCTTCAAGCTCAGCTGGTGCCCACCGTTGGGACCATGAATAGGCAACACAATCTCCATGTCGTCAACCTTCTTACCACCAGTGATAAACGCTCTGCCGGCTCCCGTTCCCGTTCTTTTGGGCATCTCCCTCCCTTTGACAGCCTCCCTCTTGATACCTCTCAGCCACTTCGCCATCCCATCTCCCCACTCCTGTTTGAACCTACTAGCCATAAAATCGCCTGCGGCTTCACACATGCTTCCCAGCGCCTTGCATGCGGCAATGGCCACGAACGGTTCCGGGTCCTTGATCCGGGCCACCACGACTGGCCAGACCGTATGGACAAGTGGCAGAAATGCGTTCTCGTCCGGAGCTAGGGCAGGGGAGACGGTCGCCACGAGGTCGAGCAGGGACTTGCGCAGGGTCGGCGTGGGAGAGGTGAGGTAGTGCTGCGAGAGAGTGAGGACGCGGGTGAGTAAGGCGTAGGTGGGCGTGTTGGAGGGCTGGTTCTTCTTTTCTTCGTCTTCGCGGGTGGCGAGGGCAGAGGAAGGATCATCTGGTAGACCACCATCCTTTTCGCCTTCTTCTTCCGGGTCGGGGTTTTCGAGTTGGTCGAGGAGTGACTTGGCTTGGGAAGCTTCCTCGGTCTTACCCGGGCCCCAGGGTTTCTTGGGGTGCGGTTGGGGAGGTTCGGCCTCTTCTTCTCGGGCTCGCTTGGTTCGCTCAGCACGTTTGTTGAGGGTGTCGACTATGTAGTCGACATCCAGTGGTTGCGGACCTCGCTTGAGGTGGCTGACGGCTTGAGGATTGGATCCTTCGAGAAGCAGCATGTCCGATTTCACGCCTTGAGTGACTATCTCGGAGAGAACGGAGAACAGGCTCTCGACAAATACGGGGTAGCCGTGGTAGTTGTCCAGAGCCGCGAAAATGGCGGCTACAACGTCGTCCAGGAAGGGAATCAATCGTGGCCCTGTTAGACGGATCAACATCACCAATACCTTGGTGGAGGCTGGCGAGATGTCAAAAGTGTTGAGGCGGAGAGAAATGGAATTGACCATGTAATCAGCATTACCGACAACCAGCTCCGAGACGTTCTTGTATCCGCAAGAGGCTGCTATCACGTTCAATGTCGTAATGGCATGACTGCGCAGCTGGGGTGTTGGCGACCCAAGGAATGTGGTGACAGGGTAGAGCACGTCAATCAGCTCCGGCCGGAAATCCTCCTTCATCCGGGATGCCGCAAAAGCAGTCACTTCGAGGGCAATTGCCTCGATACGCCAGTCGTTGTCCTGTGAGATTGAATGGGAAGCTAAGATGGACGCAGAAAAATCATAGAGCTCCTGGAAGACCTGCTCTTGGTATCGGTTCTCATCGAGAGAAGACATGTCCACCAGGTCTTCCATATCCGATGTACTGTTATACGTTGTCTTGAGAAGCTCAAACGCAAGCCAGTATGAGGCAATCTGTTCGACGCCTTCCGAGTCTCGCAAACCGCCTAGCATTGCAGCGGCTAGCTTTGTTTGCTGGGCTGGTGAGCCAATGTTGGCAATCAGCTTGGTGATCTCCGCTCTTGTCGACTTAATGCCCTCCGAGTCCAACAAAACTGGAGGGTATAACTGAATATTGGGGAGTGACACGGTAAGGTCCGTGGCTGTGGACAAGCTATTCTCATCAACATCTCCCACCACCTTGGAGGGCTTTGAGCCCTTGACCAAGGCAACTATGCTGTCCCTGAGAGAGTCGCCTAACGAATCATTCAGCGTGGACGAGTCTATTCCCATGGCTGAGGCCATTTTGGAACCCCTAAGGATATTTCTAACTGCAAGCTGCTTGATACGCTCATCGTTAGATTGGATTAGTCTGGGGAGGCTAATGAGCCAGTTGTAAAGCGTAGCCTGAATACAATCGCCCAACTCGGGGTGTATGGCCGCAAGATCCTGCAAGCTAGTTTCGAGCATTGAGCGTTCGTTCTCTTCGTTCTCGACCATCATTGCGCTCTCTACCAGGATCGACTGGCAGTTGGCTAGTGATAAATGGCATTCGTCCAACAAGCTGATACAGAACTTGCTGACAGCTGACTGGACGTCCAGAGCCTCATGAGTCCGAACTTTGAGCGCTGCGGCCAAGGCGATTTTGATCTGAGCTGTCGTAGCCCTGAGCCAAGCGGGTGTCAGCTCAGTCTGAGGCTTTTCCGCGCCGCCGCTGGGCTGAGCGTCGTCGGTTTTTGCTTTGTCTTCCATTTCAATCTGCTTTAAGATTCCGCGAATCTTGATGTCACTCAACACGTTCACAAGAACGATACTGAGGACCAGTAAGCATCGCACAAGAACCCTCCTCTGTGTCTTTTGCTGTAATGGCCGTGCCAGGACCCTGGTGAGCGAGGACACGGTACCCGGAAGGAACCGAGCAAGAACATGCTGATTGCGTGTTGTGGTGTAAACAGCCTGCAAGCATTCCAGCGCTTCCAGCTGGACTGTAGGGGCCACACCATCGGTAATGCCATCCAGCGTGACCGTAATAGCAGGGCCTAGTGCGGTCACTGTCTCATTTTCCTCCCCGGGTGCTTTACTTGCCAATAAGCTTGTGGGTCCTATCGCGGTAATGAGAGCTCCGAGGGCTTTGAATCCTTCAACCGCGGTTTCCTCGGGCACATGACGCTTCTTGGCCTGGCCTGGAGTGCCGCTAATGGTGAAGGAGAAGAAGAAGAGCAGCTGTACGGCCAAGTCCTCCGATATCGTTTGCTTCCAGCCGTATTGGATGAGGAACCTAAGCAACTTGATGATGGCTTCGACTACGCGTACCGGGAACTGATCATGGAAGCGGAGCAGGTGGCTAACGGGGAAGAAAGTATATTCGGCCAACTTCTCATCGAGAACGGTAGGATCACTGCTCACTTGAGCTGCCCATATTTCACTGAGGGATTCGACATGGGTAAAGATTTCTTTGGCAGCGGCCGCCTTGTCTGGGGACTGGAGGGCAAGGCGACTCAAGGGGACACAGACCGTCCTGAGCTGGGGGATGGGTTAGCATCAGCAGAAATGATGGGTCGATTGTGCACGAACCTGCTTGAAGAATTCATTACGCCGACCAGGGGTTGCGGTGGTGGTGGTGGCCATGTTGATTGATTTTGCGCATTATCGGATGCCGTCCATCGGCTTGCCTCTTCTTGTGGATGCCAAGTTGGGACCTGAGGTGTAGAATAGACTGAAAATGGTCACGGTGGAGGTCCGGTACTGTAGACATGATCCCGTGGTTTGTGGTGACGGGACGGGCAGTTTGCGATTGAAGTTACAGTACCCTACGGGGGCCATTGTCTTGGTTCGTTTCAAAATAGAAAGTTGCATTACGCGAAGGTCCGTGCCAGCTGTAATTACTACGCCCGCGCCCGGGGCGCGTCAATTTAGATTCAATTTAGCAATCAAATAACTCTCACCTTAACTATTACCATACTACGTACACTAACGTATATTAACATTTTCACTACAATAATACACTTTCTATTATACTATATTATTACTAGTATAACTACGTAAATATATATATATTATATTAATATATATATTTTAAATTAATATATATATAATTATAATAGCTAATAACGCGCACTTCATCCCCGAATCTAACGCTAACGAATTGGATAAATATATTTTCGATAGTAAATCCCTATCCAAGGGTATAGAAGGCCCGGACGATATCCCTATTGCGTAGCGCGAGGATTTAACCTAGAAAGAAAAGCTATACTTTATTTTAATAAAGATTTTTAATAGCGATATTAACGAAACTCTTACTATTATTACTAAAGACAAGATATATATAGGAGATAAATGTAATAAACTAATATTAAAGGATTTTAAGTCTAATTAATATTTATGGACTATTATCTACGCTATTCGCTCCAAATTTATTTAGGTTAAGGGAAACCTAATTCCTTACGTTTTTAAATTCGTACGTAATAAATATTTTACTAGGTTGGCTCGCTATTTATTTATACCCAAAGCCAACGAAAATACTTGTACTAAGTATATTACGCTTAATAATTATAGCCCCTTCGAGGAATATATTACTAATAATAAAAGTATTTATAAAGGTATTTATTTTAATTACTA